AAAACCCCAAAACCCCAAAACCCCAAAACCCCAAAACCCCAAAACCCCAGACGGGTGAAATACGATTGAATTACTGTATAATTATTTGTACCTTGGAGGATAATTCAAAGAAGTTTTGTGGAATTCAGGGTGATTAAACTTCAGTTGCTCTGAACCTCTTTGATCAATTCTATCATAAGTATTGAGCTGATGATTTTCTTGGTCAGAGTCAAACATCTCTCCGTAATCTAGTTCACCTTCACCTTCAATCTCACTGGCATCTTGGTATCCATATTCATTATAATTGATATCATATTCTCGGTGAGAGCCTTCAGGGTTAAAGTCTGGCTCAGATCCCATTCTTCTGTGTTGTGGGGGTTCTTCATAAATTAAATTTTCTTCTTCAAAGGTATTGTCTTGCTCAGAGCATCCAATTCTCAGGACATCATTAATAGCATCAAAGGTCTCTTCAGCAAGGATATACTCAGAGATTTCATCTACCACATGGTGAATAGAGGGGTCTTGAATAGAAGAGTTATTCTTCATTTCTAGAATACTCTGGTTTACTAACAGCTGACTTACGTCCCCAGAGTCTTCAGGAGCGTCCTCTATTTCTTGGTCATCATATTCCTGAATTTTAATCTCTTCTTTCTCTTCTTCATCAGAGTCTTTATTTTGTACTTCTAAAGTATCTATTAGATGTTTTAGATTCTGAGAATTTTCAGAGAATGATTCATCACATACAATAGAAATTTGACTATTAACTTGTATGAATGATATGAGCCTAAAAGAGTCAATTTTATTTCTGAAACTGTGCTAAAGAAACTATAATAAAAACTCAGGGGAGGCCAAACTCAAATCTTAAATTTAATAATTTCTAAAGCTAATAGCCTCAAAATAGCATGATGATTTTATACCTTCTTCAGGAGATTCATCGTGGATGTGTTCATGTTCAGAGACTTCCTCCTCAGAACTTTGGTCGATAATCAAGCTCCTCTGACTCACTTCATGTGGTTCATTTTCTTGAAGAGACTGTAGACTTGGAAGACTATTTTTATCGTCGATCTCTTGTTCTATTTCCACTTCAGTCTTTTGGTCTTCTTCTTGACTTTCTAGGTCTTCTTGATCTTCGTGATCTTCTGAGTTTTCATGATTCTCAAAGTCTTTTTGATCTTCATTATCCTCTTGTACTGATGGAGAAGAATGCTCTTGCTCAACTGGTTTCACAATCACAGAGGACTTTTTGGAGCTTTGTTCGATCTTTTCATCAAATGGACTCTTATTAATTCTACTCATACCTTTTGATTGGAGCTGAGATGTTGGGGTAAGCCCAAATACAGAATTATCTTCAATATTGTTCTTAGGCTCTTCAATATCCATATGGTTAATATTTTTTTTGTGATCCTGACAAGGCTCAGAATCATCTGACTTTGCTGGGCTTATCTTGAACTTCTGAAGACTATCATCAATATTATGTGGAAGGTCATATCCTTGAGCCTCTTCCCTTTTCATCCTTGAGGATGATTTACTCCCAGTGTCATCTTTAGTGTCTACAAGATTCGACTGGTTTTGAATTTCAATAATCTTTGTGTTAAGGTTGCAGATCTGAGACTTAAGCTCTCTAATCTCATCACTTGTATGAGAAAGAGCTTCGCTCTGGACATCCATAGTGTCTTTGAAGATCTGATCCTGCCCTTCAATCTGAGCAGAGAGGTCATCCCCCAAGCTTTCTATTCTGTTGTCAAAGTTTTCAAATCTCAAGTCCCACTCATTCTTTATATTCATGATAAACTTGTCATAAACTTGGTTATGGATTTCATCTGCTTTAAGCAAAGATTCTTGGATATTTTCCTCTGTTCTTTCTTGGAAAGCACTAAACCTCTCTTTCAGGTTGTTGACAGCATCAATTTTAGCATAGTCTATTAGGAAATCAGGGACGTTGTTCTGTATCATAGTCTCAACTTCATCTGAGGTAAGTTGACTATTAAGCTGCTTCTTCTGGCTAATTTTGACAGAGTTAACTTCGGCCCTTAGCTGTTCGACGTCTTCAATTATATCTGACTTGAAGGTGTTGATCTGAGCCTTGATGCTACTATTGCTTTGTTCGAGATTCTCTATCCTATTTTCAAAGTTTTGCCTATCTGTTTCAATTAACTTCTCTAAATGAATGATTAGCCTTGAGTAAAGAAATAAGTTGGAATTAAAATCTTCCTCAGAAATTTTCAAATCTAAATTGAATAGTTGCAGAATTTTTATCAGAAAGCTTCAAGTTTAGAAGATTTAATGTTAGATGGATGATCAATATTTACAAAAAGAAGAAAAATTTGCAAGGAAGTTAGCTTTTATAGCATAAAGCAGATGCATAAGAAGTTCTAATATTGCCTCCTAAAATATCTTACTTATATTAGTTGTATCGATCTGATCAATCATGATTTTGCATGTCCTTCTTAGCTCTTGGATTGCTTCATTGAGCTCTGTCTTACAACACATAACCTTAGAGTTTACCAAGTTAGTCAGCTCATTAGATTTATTTATTGAGATTGCCTTCAACTTGATTCAGCCTCTCATCAAGCTTGTAAAAGATTTTCTGCTTTAATTCAGCATCCTTATGAAACTTCTGGTCAACAGCCTTAAGAATTGAGGCAGCTACCTTATCAACCTTCTTATCTGGCTGTGTCTGAAGTGCATGCTTTAACTTGGATTCAAACTTCTTCTCAAGTTCCACATGAAGTACACTAAGTTGTTCTTGCAGTCTTAACTCAGTAACCTGATTGTTAAGAATATTCTCCTGACCGTCTCTGAGTCTCTTGAAGTCCTTGTGTAGCAGGACTTGTTCCTTCTTAATAGTAGATATTTCCTTATTAATTAGTTGCCTATAAATGAGGACAGAATCTATACACTCTGGGGTCTTCTTGCTCCTGGACTTGTGGCATTTTTGGAGGTCTTTCTCTCTTTTGAATAAAATCTTGCTGTAGCATCTTATACTTCTTGACTGCTTTCTGTGTCGAATTGTCTTTCTCGAACGATGCAGCAATATTGCCTCTGACAGAATTATTCGATTCAAGAGAGCCAAGATTTAGGTTCAAGTTTGAATATCCAACATTCCTTGTTGAGTTCCTACTTTAGAGATAAATTACACATTACGAATAAGAAGGATACAATTGCAAAAATGAATTAATGCTCTAGATTGTTGAAATCATTGTAATTTAAGAAACCGAGGACCAAGCTAATAACTACCCTGATTTCCTCAAATAAGAACAGTCGAAATTACCTCTTATTGTTGAAAGAACTATGAGATCTCTCAATTCCACCAATTTTGGGATTTGTTTGGTTAAATCCGTCTACATTTCGCTTGGTTTGTCTCACCAAATCGCCCAGGGCTAGGGACCAGCTTGATTTATTTACTCAAGTCCATAGTTGACTTGGTATCTCCTTGCTTTAGCCCCTTCGAGACCTATATGAAAATGTTAGCAATTTTCTTAATTAGTTTGCAAAGAAAACCTTGCAGTATTGGTAAATCTTCCAAAATTAGGAAGGTTCGAAGGAAATTATCCTGGCAATCGCTTCTAGTTAATCCTTACAGATCTTTTAGCTTCTGACACCTTCTGGTTGTAGTCTAAAAACTTATTCATAGTCGACGCGGTTTATTTAAATATTTAAATCAATATTATTTGCGCGGCTTGGGGTTTTGGGGTTTTGGGGTTTTGGGGTTTTGGGG